CGAATAACGATGTTGAAACAAACTACACCTTAACTCCTTCTCCCGATATCCTGAACGATACCAATTTAGGCAATTTGATTATAAGCAAAGTTTTGACAGACTCCAAGCTACTTGATGAAGCTATTGAGAAAGCTCTTAAAGGCTTGAAGGAAAGGGTTTCATATACCAAAAAGCCAGCAATACGAAGTAAGCGATCTGAGTTATCACATTACCTTAGTAGTTTACTGACATAAGAATTGAAAGTTCCATTTACTTTTTCACTATTTCAGCATTAATATAAATTAATGTTGAATATCGAATAATCACAATTTTCTAAAACAAACGTCTTTAAACGGACAAAGGCGAGCGAAACAATCCACAACTAAATCTCTTTTGCAAAATATGATGATAACAAATCGTATGGAAATTTTCAATCAGTCAGTAAACGTAGATATTTCACGTTTAATTTAGCATATAACGGTAGATGAAAGATTCAGTAAATATATACATATATGTGTGGTTTTTATGGATATTTTTCTTCTTGGACACATTTTACTATTCACTTTAATTATACAGTTTTCTTTACTGTGTTGGGTTACTATGTATTTGCTGTTTATGAATGTTATAGTCCAAAATCAAATTAAAGGATCTTGCATCCGGTTCTACAAAAGCAATTTCTCTACAGAAGCAGGTAGAAAGTCTTCTCTCTCACAATGTTCAGCCATGACAACCTACCATAACCGAATGTTAGGAGATAGCAGAGTGTCAAAAATGGTTGAAAAAGCCAATGTATTTGAAGAAACGACAAAGGTTTTGGCTAGAAAGTAAGTTTTCTAATAATATCTTCCATATTTGACTAAACAGGCAAATAAAAAAAATACATAAAAGGGGCATTTAGAAAAATTACTTTAGATTCTACCATTAGCTCTTATATAAACAAACACAAGAAAATTATACGAAATGCTACTAAATATATTTCGCTGTGGCGAGGGAAAAATTATGTTCTCTGTACTACACTTTGAAGTTTGAAGTCAAAAGTTTTACTGGACGTGACAGTGTAAAAGGTACGTGGTCATGTGACTGAATGTCCATTAGCTCTTTATTTCTGGAATGAAATGGACACCATCTTTACCTTTCTTATAGGTTAGGGTTAAAGAGCGAAGAAGTTTCTGCTTTAGCCGATGTCAGTTTAAAATCAAGCAAGTTGGGAAGTATGTTCAGTGAAGATGAAGAGCAAAAAACGTGTAGTTGTGCACAAAAATACCGGGAATTTGACGGAACATGTAACCGTTTACAATCTCCTAAAGACGGTTCTGCTTTCACCTGTTTGACCAGACTTCTTCCAGCCAAATACGCTGACGGTGAGTGTTACACTGATTAGTGCACTTTTGGTATAAGTTTATGAAGGTATTTCAAAACCAGTAAAATGTAACTTTAGTCAGATCAAGCTTGTGAAGGTACCAAATTTATTTTTCGTACTAGTAGCATTGATGAAGAAAGCAAAACTTCCTTTTCATAAAACGTAGTAGTAGTTTTCCAGAAATGTCGGTTTTTGGTATATATTCAGTATTTTTTTTCTTACAAGTAAAATATAAATAAAGACTTTAATATTGTCAGAAAGCATTTTTCTTTTATAATTTTAGATTTATATTCGTATTGCTAACTGTGCAGATTATTGTGATATATATTTAAATGTAAAAATAAATGAGCAAAAACAAGCTTATGATTGTTTACAATTATTATGTCTAGAGAAACTCTATTATTTGGATTTCATCAGCCTCCCCCTCTATCCACATAATATTAATACTTGTTACAATTATATTATTTATTAATATTTAGAAAATATATTTGCGTACAGGTATTTCTGAACCAAGAAAAGCGAAATCTGGAAGAGACTTACCTAATCCTAGACTAGTATCAACTACAATCCATACCGATCAGAACAGAGAAGCATTTTTTACACATTTTCTGATGGTGTGGGGACAGATCATGGATCATGACAGTGCCCTCGCTCCATTTAACAGCGCCCCAGAAGAGGAAGTGATACTTGGAGGTAGATCTCAATTTTCTTTGTTTATTTATCTTCTCTTTTTTTGTTTACGTATAGATGTATAATCACGTGAGGTACAATACTTTTAAATCTTATTTTCCGTCAGCTAAGCCAGTACAATTAGCTGAGCGGGAATAGGGTATCTAAGTCAGTCTAAATATGAGGATACTTAGAAACGTTAATGGTGTTGAAATATATACCTTAACAAATTCACAATTTTAATTTTATTGTTCTAACAGAAATAGACTATATTTGTAATCTAAGTATTCTGTTATTTTCGTGTTTTAAATATGGTAGCGTTAACATTAGAACATTAACATTAATAACATTAGAAAACACAATAAACAATTAAACATTAAATCAGATGAAAATCATCAAACTCTTATTATATAATCAAAAAGTCCAATGGAATTATGAACATCGTTTAAACTTAATCACAATCATCACCTTAGTTAAAACTGAACTTTTTAAAATCAGTAAAGGATACATATCATATTCAACAGTATTATTTACCAGTTGGAATACGGGGATATTTTCTCTCGTGAATGAATTAACACAGCGAATTATTTAATGATTTGCTGTTTTAACTTTTCTTGTAAGGAAAATTGCATCATTTCAATAATAATGTTTAGATCCAGAAACCATTACATAATTAAGATACATTCATTATCGTGACATGTGTTTTAGTTTTTGAAAATATCCGGGAATGGTCAGTTGTTTGAATGTTTTTTATGAACACTAGTGGAATCTATACTAATATTTGCATTTAACATTTTCATTTTAATCGTCAAGATGGAGCTGAACGCATGGACTGCTGCGATTCAGAGCATATCAATGATACACGATGCCTTCCGATCGAAATTCCTCAAGATGATCAATTCTTTAGTCAATTTAATGAAAGATGCATGAATTTCCGAAGGTCTGCCAGCTGTCCAAAATGCTCACTGGGTAAGCTCTTAAGCTATTATTAACCTGAGAAAATCTTGGTGAGTAAGTATAGTTGTGTTTCTAGAGAAAAAATATGATTTAGATATTATACTTGTTCAACATAAGTCTTGACATTGGTGTTTGATACAAGTCTGAGAACGAGGATTCTCTTCTTTGCACTTTCTTAGATGAATATTTTTATTTGAACTAATTCTTAAAGTTAGTTTGAAGCGTCCTGTAAACTTTGAATATAATAGATATTTCAGATTGATTCTTGCTATTAAAACCTTACGATAAGATTCCATAAATTTTATTATTTAGTGATTAATGTATATGGTTACAATATTTGATTTTTTCTCTATCAGTTAGGATTTTCTTTGCATCATTATAATTATTTTTTTTATCAATATCAACGTTGGTCATTATTAATTGAAAAAAATGTTGTAGATGCAAAAAGTCTCCTTGTTCAGTATTCTTGTTCAATATTGCTAAAATATTCTTCTTGTTCAATTATTGACCTACTAATTCCTTGACATATTAGAATTGTTTATAAGTATTCTACATTTTTGTGTGAGGGTGTTATTTATGCTTTATCCAAACGTTTTTATTTAGCGTTCAATTTGAAACAGTCAGTATTCAATTTTTAACCGCGACATAGCGACTCATGGAATGACTCCGAGTTTTTTTCAAGTACAAACTTTTAGCTTATAACTCCTTCATCTCCTGACGGATTGGAGTAAAAATTACAGATTTGGAATAAAGAGATCCAACATTTTCGATTGATGTATTTGACCAAGCCCAAGGTCTAATAGTTTAATTTACTCTAATCGTGTCTGAAATAATTTTAATTTGATGATAGGCTGGTAGAGATCCTTGTTTGTAATAAAATCGAATCGGGTACACGCGTGCCCCAGACTTGGTATTGGTGGCGTGCAAAAATATAACTTATAAAAAGGGGAAAAGTTCTCATATATTAATTGACTCAAATCCTGCCTAAAAGTATTTGAAGCGCCGCAGGTATTGAGGTTAGCTTTTCTTTTTCTTATAATCGACTATGTTAGCTTGATAGCATCAACTTTTGATTGTTCTATGTTTAGTTCAAGGAACTATTTAGTTTTCAAAAGCAATAACGAACAAAGTATAATAAAATTACACTTCCAGGCTAATCGTGCATTGTATATTTCTTTAGAGCAAGATTTTGGACGATTAGTATATAATGAGAAATTGGTTTGAAAAGTATGAGAAAATAGTCAGAAACAATAATTTGATTGAATTATTCCCGAATTTCATAATAGTTAAATTAATACCTTTTCACCTATGGATTGTAGTTCAGTTTATTTTTATATGTTAAACATGTTAAACGTTACTTTCTTTGTACGTTATTACTCCATAACATCAATTTGGAGAGATACACTATCATAGAATATCGATCTGTAAGAAAAATGTCGCTGAAAATATGAATAGTTTCATATGGACCACTCATTTCCTTTTCTTGGTGTTGGAATCAATGTTTTGGACTCTATGCTAACCTCTTCATCATGTAGAGTTCTTTAGAAACGTTTCTTGAAAGACGTCACTGAAATATCAACTTACCCCAAAGTTATTTCACTAGACGCTTCATTTTCTAGTATTAAACACAGAGGAAGTAAGCAGCTTGAGAAAGAAAGGTCTCAAACAATGCAATTTTTCTTTAGGTTAATTAAATGTGTAGCTTATCTTAAAATAACTCTTAATCTTAGGACCCCGGGATCAGTTAAATTCTCCCACCAGTTTCGTTGACGGTTCCATTATTTACAGCTCTTTCATAACTTTAAATATTTAAAATTGAAATAACATGAATTTAAGACAAAACATATCCTAAACGCTCATATTATAGTTATTTGGACAATGTATAACAATAAATTATTGTTTCTGTTTCTGTGAACAAAAATTTAACTGTTGAGGAATACTTACCGTCTTGAAATAGTCGCAGTGATTGAACGGTGTGAAGATCACTTAATTCAACTTTTAATTGATAAAGTTTTTCCGAAACATTCCAGTAAAATAGTGATTTAATTGATATTTTACAGATTTCTTATTTCGGAATCTCAGCTTACATCGGGTTTATAATAGAAAATAGGTACAAAAGAACGTATTCTAACTGTCTTTCTTTTGATAGGTTTGATGAGGTTTCAGAGAGATTCAGAGAGAAATGTCATTTTACCACGATCTCGAAACGCTAGAGGCGATTTGTGTAGTGATCCAGGAAATAGATTATTCTGCTTTGACGCAGGTAACGAATAAAAGAAATAATTAGATTTTGTAATCTAGGATAACACGATGAATAAAACCAATAATGTTTATTTCAAATTAGGAATAACTATATATTCATGCATAATTTTATGTTGTTCATAAACTGTCTGAAAAGTATTCCATCATTAAATGTGTTAGCACATTGTATTTATATTCTGATCAGGAGTGTTGTTATGTTGTGTATTTTGGACCTATAGTTTTTACCTCACTAATATGTACATTAGAGCTGTAATATAACATATCAAAAGACAGAGTGTATGAACTGTAATGTTCGTGCTGTATGTTCAGTTCCCAGAAAAGTTTTAATTAAAAATTAACGGATTAAAATCCTGGCTTGCAGCAATTAGTTTTTGTATGGCTATTTATGTTGAAATAAAACTGTATTTTCCAAAGCAGACAGTGTTAGAGATAATGTTTCTCGGTTTCTCCAGGAGATCGTCGGTTGAATGAACATCCAGCCTTAACAGCTTTACACACCATATTCATTAGAGAACATAACAGAATTGCGAGAGAATTGAGAAGAATAAACCCTTGCTGGAATGATGAGAGGCTGTTTCAAGAAGCCAGGTTAAGCTTATATTGTTTAGAAGTGTTTGATCAAAGCAAACTACCTTCATAGATCATGGCTAAACATTAACCAATAATGAATATAGAAAAGTTAATATATGTCTCTTATTGGGGTATACAAAGTCACGAGCTCATAAATATTATTATAATATGAAAGTATTTATTCATGAAATGGTGTCGTTGCTGTTAAACATATTTTACTTATGAGGAGTGTCGAAATTCATGAGAACAAAAACATTATTATGTTAAAAATGTATTTATTCATGCGTTGGTATCCTAGTTGCTAACTATATTTTCTGCTGTTATCCTAATATGTCACGATGTTCAATCATTTTAGGAAATTAATGTTACTCCGAATTTCAAATATGAGGTTAAAATGCAAAGTAATCATAATGATAAATAGCATATGTTAAAAATGAAATAATGATAATTAAAATATTATATATATATCAAATATTATAATCAATGCTGTAAAACAAACTACCATTACAGAAGTAATAGAATTGAGATTGTTTATATTTACACAATTCATATTGAACATCTTTATTATAAAAGATATATTTGTATATTTTCTTCAGTAATAATTGCCACTACTTTTTTTCTAATTATTCTATTAATTAATTTTTATGAAATACTAGTTAATTCATAAAGGCTTTCTATGTATTTATTCATTTTGTTAATGGCCTATTGATGTTTGCTTGTTATTGTTGTTTCTTAAGGAGGATCGTGATTGCTGAGATTCAAATGATTACATACAATGAATTCTTAAGGCTTGTCGTGGGTCCTTACTATCATCAGAGGTTTTTGTTAAGAACTCTTCGAGATGGTTTCTTCACTGCATACAACCCTAACATCAATCCTGCTATGATTAATGAATTTACCTCAGCATGCTTTCGATTCGGCCATTCTACATCTCAAGGTTCTTTCACAGAAATTCCATCATCTGGTAATCCCACAAGTTTCAAGTTGCAAAATAACTTTTTCCACCCATTTGGCCTCTACCAAGGAGATTTGAGAAAGAAGTGACACGAAAATTAAATATAGCTCTAAGGTAATCTACGTAAGGTCGAATTCCGTGATCTCTGCCCCTCTGAACATTTATAGCCATAAGATCTAGTCCGAAACTGTCGTCCCTCTTGCGGTACAGATGGTTAGTCAAATCTTCAACGATAAAGTTATCAGATTTTTGAGCCAACTGATCAGCAAGTCCTCTCACAAGCAATTCGGTCTGCTGCACTACGGTAGAAGGCATTAAAGATCTTAAATAAACAAACAAACATAATATCTATGATTATGATCCATCGACTATAACAATAATATACTATAGAAACAATATATGAGTGATGTTACATTCTGATATAAGAAATTTAGGTATGTGAAATATTCACTATACAAACGTACTCGTAAACTTGTTCAAACTTGACATTCTAGAAATAGAAAAACAATATCTTAAAATCTAACGAAACGTTTTCACAATCTTAATTTATTCCTAAATTAATTAGTCGTTGAAATTTTAGTCTTAGAACTTCGAGGTCTTAATATTTCTGTCTCTTCGTTACCACTTCAGAGCTTGTAACGCTAAACTGCGGGGTTCGATTACCCATCGTTGTATAGCTTTACGAATAAAAATAGATTCATAAACATTATCCACATCTTTGTAATTGTACATAAATGAGTCTTTAAAAATTCTTGTTCATACAGTGTGATCAAGAAATGTGATAATATAACAGACAAAAGCGGAAATTAGAAATGTTTCAACTTTTGAAGTAAAAAATACTTATGACAAAAACATGTTTATATTTTATCGTGTGTCTTACAATTTATCTTAGAAAGAAGCAAGCCTACACCTATTATTCTACGAATCTTAATAACATTGTGTTACACAGCTAGAAATAATTCTAGCATTAGGTGAAAACCTTTAAAAACAGAAAAAAATCAAAACTGATAAATAATGTTACTTACAAGTATCACACCATGGCGTGAAATCAAACGATTCTCGAGATGAACATTTCAAAGATGGATTACTAAAATTAACAAACGTATAAAGTGTTTAACATAACTTTCCTCAAAACATCACATTCGCAACTCCAAAAAGTAATGAAAGATTCTAAACTACTAATTTTTTATTGTTTTAGGGACAAATAAAATAAAAACGTAGAAGATCATAGTAATCTGAATTATTTTCACGGCTAACTATTTCATACGAGTTATAAGAATATAGTAATTCTGTACATTTTTACTTATATTATATTACTTTACACATTATAAAATCATTAAAATATTTTATCTGAACGATTTTGTTTTGTATAGTTTACAAAAGCGATTTTTATTATTTATTAAAAGTAAGTTTAACTCATTCGCGTCTGTTACATTACTTAAGAATCTTACGTAAACATTTAACATGAAAATCATAAAATTGCTTTCTTACTATTCTGTTTCTAGTACATCATCAATCTAGCCGTTACTAAGTTTTACAAGGTAAGAAAACAAATAAAGAAAATAGTTTTCTGTCTTACGTCCTAGAGACTGGTAGGAAGATCCATTGTTGTAGTTCATCTACATCATTACTGTTCTCACACAAAATTCTGGACAAAGTTACCTTTCGGATTTCTCTCAGTTGGGCTGTGTAGACGATCAATTTAAAAATAAATAATGTCAATAATATTATTTTCTTTTATACTTCATACAATAATTCTGAAAATTGTATTATTTATAAAACATTTAAAAGTAAAGTTGTTAAAACACTGTGTATGATTTTAAATACCAAACAACCTGAAAAACTATACACTGTGCATAGTTTTGTGTGTGTTACTGGATTAGACATATTTTGAAAGGAACATTTACTTAAAGTATCGAATGATGAATAAACAGCTTAAATTGTTTGAAAAGTACGAAGCAAATATTGATCGTACCAGCTGTGAAAGAGCCAGCTTCTCCATACACATCAAAGAAGTATCGATCTCCAAATCTCAATCGATTGTATTGTAACGCAATAATAAAACCACAGGTAGGCCCGACAATACCACCTGAAACTGGACTTTCTGAAATACTACCTGAGAAAAAGTCAATGTCGTCAACGGACCTAAAAAAAATGATAAATTTCCAAAAGATGCCTACCTCACTATTATGTAAAATTTCCAACTTCATAAGTAATATACAATCGTTATTTAAGAATGTTCTATGTAGTTTGTGTACCGTTAGATAGCAGCTAACTTCTCAAATAAACCAAAAGATGAGGGGAAATGTTTCTCTAGTATGATGCCTGACCTTCAACAAGAGGATGCAACAGGATCAGTTTAGCGATATGAAGTTTTTGTGGCAGTGATATTGTTTCACGTTCGAAACCTAAAAGTAGAAACCGTCAGCTCTTTGCTCAATTAATACAAGTATCTTAATTTTAATACAAGTTAGCTTACAGGTTTTGTTTTATTTACAATATAAACGTGTTTTTTATTTCTAGTTGAAAAAATCAGAACTGTCTAGTTTGAAGCTTTATCTTATCTATGTCACCTAGTGTTAAGTAAACAATATACCATACTAAATGAATTGTTTTCCTTCTACGTATTGGATTTTGAGATACAGAATACATATATATGATAAAAGACCAAACCACCAAACGTGCTCGCCCTTTCAGCCGTGGGGGCGTTATAATGTGACGGTCAATCCCACTATTCGTTGGTAAAAGAGTAGCCCAAGAGTTGGCGGTGGGTGGTGATGACTAGCTGCCTTCCCTCTAGTCTTACACTGCTAAATTAGGGATGGCTAGCGCAGATAGCCCTCGTGTAGCTTTGCGCGAAATTCAAAAACAAACAAACAAACAATTACACGGGAACTAAACTACAGTCATTTTTCCTAAACGTTTCTTTATAGATAACAAAGAGATAGAGACGTAATGTTTTTGAACGAGATATTGTAGAACACTTAAACTCAGTGATATTGTTTTGTATTTTCGTTCTAATGACGAACCAAAAGAAAGCAGATTTTGTGGCCCTTTTAATCATGAACTGAATATATTGTTTGTGTTTCAAATTGAGCTCTAGTGAGAATGATTCAAGTTTTAAAAATGTACAGAGTATTATCCACCAAACCAATGTATCACCCAAATCATATACTAGTGGTCAACCATAGTGCAGTCTTGATACGGTTTCGTTGTTTTTTATTTTTTGCAGCTTGCAGCAACGAACGATGAAGGAAGGTGAAAGAAACGAGTCTGTTTTAGAATGCACTTCAATTATTGTTATATGCACCAGATAAATAATACAAATATAAATATTAATTGCAGGGTCAAAAGGTATTAGAAATAATCTCTTGTACACTTTAAACATATAATAAAATGATATTGTATCACTGATTGTATTGGTATTAGTAGTGTATTTTTTTCAATGGAGAGAAAACCAAACTTTTCCAACATTTTTTTCTTATATCCCAAGAGCTAATTGCTGTATATTTAGTATGACGCATTTCACTTTATCTAAAATCGTTAACGACGTCACTAGAGTGTATAAGTAATTTCACAAATACTAAAGTAGCTTATATACTCTTGAGAAACATAACGATTCTAAGTAATTCTGAAATAAGCTTGTGAATTTTACAACAACAACAAAAAATCTTAAAACATTAAGGTAAATTTATTGAAGAAAATAAAATGGATGTTAATGTGAGCAAAATTCCTGTTCTCAGTCACATAAGAGAAATCATTCAAATTTAACTCGTATAACCAACACGATTTTCTTTTAACGTTCACTTGATGGTTCAGAGATAAGTTTACAGACTTTCAACGCTTATATCCGGGGTTAGATTCTCTGGGGGAAAATGTGCAGATATCCCATTGTCTAGCCTCGTTATAAGAACACACAAAACAACAATCAATTAACCCCGAGTATAATGCTGACACTTGTTTTTATTTTTGTACATTTCTTTCAGCTATAATTATAATTAAATATAATTAAATAAAAGATGGATTAAAAATACATTGTCTCGTGCTATGTTACAAAATGAGACAACAACTTACATTTTTGTAAGACTATAAGTTATTTTTGGGTTGGTGTAGTAGATAATTGTCTCTAAAGTAAGGAAAACATAAATAAACAAACCATTTTACCTCAATGTTAATTAATTAGAGAAATATCCCTATATTCATATAATCAGAAACAGAAAGTTTGACTTTGTTAGATACCAAATACAGTAATGAAAACAAATGAAATTAAGAGGTCAAGTGTAGCTTTGTTTAAAGTAGCAAGACAATGTATGATAAAGCAGCGATATCGATTAAATAGAAAAACTCAAAATTTGCTTAGTTTTCAATCTAAAACCTGAAGGTTCTGTGTAATATTAAAATGGAGAGAAACTTTTGTGAGATCATGTGGCTGAGATCATCAAGAGAAAATTTCTGTGACTTTTTAATTGTTTCAAGATTTTGTACGGCTCTGATCATGACAGCTTGAAATATCTTTCAATAGGGGTTCCAGGGAAAAAAAAAGGTTTAAGAACACTTGCCATAGACAATATTCTTGATGTTACTGACTGTGACAAAACACTTACGTTTCCTGTATCTATTGGCATGTACAAATTCTGGCTTCAATAATTTCTGTGTTAGAGTTTTCAATGGTTTGTGTTATTATTTTTGTGTGAAGAATTGGTAATAACAGGAGGTGTCACTGTGTAGATATTTTAAACAAATATATTTGAATATTGATAAGTTCGTAATGAAAATAACGATATGAACTTGTAGGTTTATATGCTTTATGAATTAGAATACTTATTAAATTAATTTTGTAACAATCAGGTATGAATGTTGTGAAATGACAGTACAGACCAGAAAATCTCGGTTTGTGGTAGCGTTAGTTTACTTGAACTCTGCAAAAAGAAATATCAATTGTTAATTATCTCGAGATATTACTGATTTTAAATATAGATAGGAGGCCATGTTCGTATCAATAACAAAAAATGACAGACAAAAAGTTTGGTTATGATAATATACTGAAAATAAATCATGATCAAAGAATATTTGGTGAAATTAATTCCATTCTATAAGTCATATGCTGTCATCTATTAGCCTTTCCGACGAGACCTTAAAGAATACTTGTTTCGGCTGTATCATGTACACATTTTTGCCATTTCTTTATACTAAATTATTTTCCTTCTTATTACAATTTTGAATGGATTTCATGCATAAATTTGGTATTGATTATCAATTCTTATCAATTATAATCATCAAATTCTTGAGAAACACCAGTCATAATACCTAAACCCAAATTATGAATGCTGGACAACGATTCAACTTCGGTTTTCGTAGTTTTTATAGCTTATTCGTGAAAGGCTCGATATTATTATCTAAATATCTTAC